GAGACGTGCTGCTTAATGCTGCTGCTGCGCTGCTGCTGTTTGCTGCTAGCGATGTTATGGCCCAGCACCTACAACACACACAAGCACACAAGCAGCAGCAACTGCTGCAGCAGCAGCAGCAGCAGCAGCAGCAGGAGGAAGAGGAAACAGATTTAGCCCTGGTGCAGCAGCAGCACCAACAGCAACAACAATACCAGCAGCAGCAACTGCAGCAGCAGCAACTGCAGCAGCAGCAGCAGCAGCAGCAGCAGCAGCAGGCGTGCGGCGCAGCACACATCCCCCCCCCTCTCAGCAGCACCTTGCGGCAGCTGGATATCGGGCGGACGGTGGCGGTGGGGTTGGAAGGGGTTATAGTCAATGGTAAACACACTGTCTCCTTTTTTGTCTCCTTTTATTCTTTTTGTCTCCTTTTATTCTTTTTTGCCTCCTTTTACTCTTTTTTGTCTCCTTTTCTTTTTGTTTCCTTTTATTCTTTTTTGTCTCCTTTTATTCTTTTTGTCTCCTTTTATTCTTTTTTGTGTTCTTTTTTCTCTCCTTTTTTTTGTTTTTTTTTTTTTTAGTCTCCTGTTCTTTTTTTTCTCCTTTTCTCTTTTGTCTCCTTTTTTGTCTTCTTTTATTCTTTGTTGTCTCCTTTTCTTTTCTTGTCTCCTTTTCTTCTTTTTGTCTTCTTTTGTCTCCTTTTCTTCTTTTTTGTCTCCTTGTTTGTCTCCTTTTCTTCTTTTGTCTCCTTTTATTCTTTTGTCTCCTTTGGGCTGCCTCTTTGTCTCCTTTTATTCTCTTCTTGTCTCCTTTTGGTTGTTTGTTTGTCTCCTTTCTCTTATTACCTCATTTGTTTGTCTGTTTATCTCCTTTTGGTTGTTTTATTGTATCCCTTTGTTGCTCGCGCTGCTGCATTTGCTGCTGTTTGCTGCTGCTTGCTGCTGCTTGCTGCTTCTGCTGCAGCTCTGCTGCTGACGCCCATGTATCACAAGCTCGAAGCGATGCTAGCCCATAACAACGTCCCATTCAAGCGCAGCAGCAGCAGCAGCAGCAGCAGCAGAACCAGCAGCAGCAGCAGCAGCAGCAGCAGCAGAACCAGCGGCAGCAGCAGCAGCAGCAGCAGAAGCAGCAGCAGCAGCAGCAGAAGCAGCAGCAAAGCAGCAACAGCCAGTCGTTTGGCTTCTGGGCAGCGTGTTGCTGCAGCTGGTGCAGCAGCAGGTGTATCAACAGTACCATCAGCAGCATCAACCGCAACCGCAGCAGCAGCAGCAGCAGCAGCAGCAGCAGCAAAGCAGCAACGCAGCCGGGCTAGCCGCATGCTCTGGCTGCTAAGCTTTTATCAGGTATTGGCGATGCTCATCGTCGCTATGCCGTTCAGTTCTTTTTCTTTTCTCTTTTTGACGCCTCTTCTCCGTTTCGGCTGCTCTAAGGTTTTTCAAAGCAACAGCAGCAGCAGCAGCAACCAGCAGCAGCAGCAGCAGCAGCAGGAGCAGCAGGAGCAGCAGCAGCAGGAAGGGCGGCCTGAGGTAGCGTGCCAGCAACAGCAGCAGCAGACGCTAGCGCAGCACCCGCTGCAGACACCGACGCAACCCTATCAGCAGCAGCAGCAGCAGGAGCAGGAGCAGCAGCAAGAGCAGCAGCAGCAGCAGCAGCAGCAGCAGGCATTGAGGTGCTGGGTTAGCTCTGCTCCTGCAGCAAGCTGGCGAGCTGCTGCTGCTGAAGGCGCAGAAGCTGTGCGGTGGCACTTTAAAGAAATTTATATCGCCAGCCTCATCGTATGGCCTCTATCAGACCTCATCAACTTCAGGTAATATAAATAAATAAATATAAATAAATATAAATAAATAAATAAATATAAATAAATAAATAAATATAAATAAATAAATAAATATAGATAAATAAATATCGATAAAAGAATAAATATAAATGAGTAAATCATGTAAACGGAATAAAATAATATAAAGAAAAGATATTACAAAGAAAAAGAAACATAAACTACCGCAGCATAGGCTGTGTTGCTACTTCTGCTGCTGCTGCTGCTGCTGCTGCTGCTGCTGGTGTTGCTGCTGCAGCTCTAGGTGTTTCTGCCGCTGTTGCTGTTGCTGTAATAGCTGTGGCTGTTTTCTATAGTAGCACTAGTTGTAGCTGCTTCCGCTGCTACTGCTGCTGCAGCTGCTGCTTCTGCTGCAGCATCAGCTGCTGCTGTTTC